TTTTTGTTCTCTGATAGAATAATATAAATGCTTAATATTTTTAACAGACAAAAAATTCATTTAAAATTAATTCATAAAAAATTCATTTCGAAATTTTTTTTTTCTTTCGAGATATAAGGAATTTTCCATCAAGATCTTTCCTTTGCTTTCAGGAATTTTCCTCCCGTAGTGTCCGTTTTGACACTATTATGAGAAGTGGACAAGTTTATTCCAGTTTCCTTATGAATCGTTGGGCCCAGCTAAATTACATGAAATTTAAGGTACAAATACTCCCAAATCATATTCCTCCAATAGTTTGTATTTGTAACATAAATATAGTCCGTTCGCCAGGAGTTGGAGCTTGGGTCCACCTCCTCGGACGCTGAGTTAATTTTAACGCTGGAGTAAGAGAAGAAACATCTCCACGCTTGAAATTGAGACAACCCTTAATGCGTGCCAAACGCAAACAGTGAATATTATGCCTTTCGTTATTCCAGCTAATTAAATATATTTCAAATTTAAAAACTGCTGTTTTCTCAGCAAAATGTCTCCAAAAGGACAAACTATTCACTCAAAAGAGAGAAATATCATCAAATTTATGAAATATTTAATGTTGATGAAAAAATGACCATAAAAATTGCGAAATGAATGTTTTCGTCATACGATCCCCAAATAAAAACCTTGTTCAGGATTGTTCACATCTTCTCCCAAAAATAGCGAAATAGTATCGTCGGATATCACGTGATGAAGGCGGAGCCAAGTGTCAACTCTTGGTGAACGAACTATACTAAAAGTACACATAATTTAGTGGTTATTGCTGTGAGCTTTGCAGATCAAAGGTTACTCTAACAGGCAGCTCAACAGTCACTTAAGAAAGTTATATTTTCCCACTTATCAACTTATCATTAAATGGAAAAATTTCTGCCTCTATCTTGCTAGCAAAACAACAAACGTGATTTTTTATAGAAATCTTAAAGAACAATATGTAACTTTTATTTTCCACTTCAATTTTTATTTTTTATTTTTAGGAATTAGCAAAGTAGCTACATTTATATAAGCTACATATACAGTTATATATTATAATTTGTCTGTTTTTAACAATGTAAAATGAAAGATTTACGAATTTAGAGAAAACTTATTAAATTACTGTTCTTTTTTTAGAGTGGATTTTTTTTTAGCATTATTCAATCTAAACAGTCACAAAAATATATTTTAAAAAACATACAAATAAGCAATGTATAATGAGAGATTTACGAATTTAGAGAAAACTTATTAGATTGCTGGTCTTTTTTTAAGACGATTTTTTTAGCATTATCCATATTAAACAGTCATAAAAACAAATTTTAAAAAGCATACAAATAAGCAATGTATTATGTGAGATTTATGAATTGAGAAAAAACTTATTAGACTGCTGTTCTTTTTTTAAAAGGATTTTTTTAGTATTATCCAATTTAAACTGTCATGAAGACAAATTTTAAAAAACACACAAATAAACAATGTATAATGAGAGATTTACGAATTGAGAAAAAACCTATTAGATTTCTGTTCTTTTTTTAAGCGTATATTTTTTTTAGCATTATCCGATTTAAGCAGTCATAAAAACGAATGTCAAAAAACATGCAAATAAACAGTGCATAATGAGAGAAAATTTATTAGATTGCTGTTCTTTTTAAAGCTGATTTTCTTTTTAGCATTATCTAAATTTAAGCCGTCACAAAAACAAATTTTAAAAAACATACAAATAAGCAATGCATAATGAGAGATTTACGAATTGAGAGAAAACTTATTAAATTACTGTAACTTTTTTCAAGAGAATTTATTTTAGCCTTATCTAATTGAAACAGTCATAAAAACAAATTTTAAAAAGCATACAAATAAACAATGTATAATGAGAGATTTACGAATTGAGAAAAAATTTATTAGATTTCTGTTCTTTTCTTAAGCGTATTTTTTAGCATTATCCAATTAAAACAGTAATAAAAACAAATTTTTTAAAAAAACATGCAAATAAACAATGTATAATGAGAGATTTAATTGAGAGAAAACTTATTAAATTGCTGTTCGTTTTTTTAGGCGAATTTTTTTAAGCATTATTCAGTTGAAACAGTCACCAAAACAAATTTTAAAAAACATACAAATAAACAATGTATAATGAGAGATTTACGAATTGAGAGAAAACTTATTAGATTCCTGTTCCTTTTTTTAAGAGGACTTGCTTTAGCATTATCTAATTTAACAGTCATGGGAACTAATGTTAAAAAACATACAAATAAGCAATGTATAATGAGAGATTTACGAATTGAGAGAAAACTTATTAGATTCCTGTTCCTTTTTTTTAAAAGGATTTCTTTTAGCATTATCCAAATTAAACTTCCTTAAAAAAAATAAAAAAACAATGTATAATGAGAGATTCACGAATTAAGAGAAAACTTATTAGATTCCAGTTCCTTTTTTTAAAAGGATTGTTTTTAGTATTATCCAATTTAAACAGTCCCAAACACAAAATTTAAAAAGCATTCAAATAAACAATATATAATGAGAGATTTACGAATTGAGAGTAAATATATTAGATTGTTGTTCTTTTTTAAGAGGAATTTTTTTAGCATTATCCCATTTAAACTTTCATAAAAAAAAACAAAAAAACAATGTATGATGAGAGATTTACGAATTGAGAGAAAACTTATTAGATTCCAGTTCCTTTTTTTAAAAGGATTGTTTTTAGTATTATCCAATTTAAACAGTCACAAACACAAAATTTAAAAAGCATTCAAATAAACAATATATAATGAGAGATTTACGAATTGAGAGTAAATATATTAGATTGTTGTTCTTTTCTAAGAGGAATTTTTTTAGCATTATCCCATTTAAACTTTCATGAACAAAACAAACAAAAAAACAATGTATAATGAGAGATTTACGAATTGAGAGAAAACTTATTAGATTCCAGTTCCCTTTTTTAAAAGGATTGTTTTTAGTATTATCCAATTTAAACAGTCACAAACACAAAATTTAAAAAACATTCAAATAAACAATATATAATGAGAGATTTACGAATTGAGAGTAAATGCATTAGATTGTTGTTCTTTTTTAAGAGAAATTTTTTTAACATTATCCCATTTAAACTTTCATAAAAAAAATAAAAAAACAATGTATAATGAGAGATTTGCGAATTGAGAGAAAACTTATTAAATTGCTGTTCTTTTTTTTAAAGTGGACTTTTTTTAGCATTATTCAATTTAAACAGTCACAAAAATATATTAAAACATACAAATAAACAATGTATAATGAGAGATTTATGAATTTAGAGAAAACTTATTAGATTGCTGTTCTTTTTTTAAGACAATTTTTTTTTAGCATTATCCATATTAAACAGTCATACAAACAAGTTTTAAAAAACATACAAATAAACAATGTATAATGCGAGATTTACGAATTGAGAGAAAACATATTAGATTGCTGTTCTTTTTTTAAAAGGATTTTTTTAGTATTATCCAATTTAAACTGTCATGAAGACAAATATTAAAAAAAGTTCAAATAAACAATGTATAATGAGAGATTTACGAACTGAGAGTAAATGTATTAGATTGTTGTTCTTTTTTAAGAGGAATTTTTTTTAGCATTCTCCCATTGAAACCTTCATAAAAAAATAAAAAAAACAATGTATAATGAGAGATTTACGAATTGAGAGAAAACTTATTAGATCGCTGTAACTTTTTGGAAAAAAAAATTAAATTTAAATTAAATATGGCGAAGGAAGAGATCTAATAATAATAATAATACTAAAAAGTCTATAGATAATTCAAACGACACCCATTCAAAATTTAAATGTTCTCACGTGATTTCGTGATGCCATAGAGTATTTAAAAAGAAAAAAAGAAAAGACCACATCTTCCATCGAACCACTGTTATTAACGGATATTTTCTCCACCTGTTGGGGGATGGATGGACGACTTCTGTAGAAAATTAAGGAAGCCATTTCCTCTTTTCTTATATTAAGCATAACAATTATTGTTATAATAAGTGGAAATTCACCATTCGCAGCTGCCTTCGCGTGCACATTAGTCGGCTTCCAAGCAGATTTTTATTTATTTTTTTGCACATTTCCTGTAAGGCACATCTTCTAATGGTGATTATAAAAAACTTTTGGAGAACATATTTAGCGCCTATTAGTGACTTGCTGGTCACATTTTGTAAAAATTAAAAAAAAAATGGTAGGAAAAGATCTAAATTGTTTTCTTAGCTACTATAGATATTTGTATATCGTAGGAACTATATCTCAATGATGCTAATAATTTTCGAAAATTGAAAAGAAATTAAAACCTATTAAAATTTCCAATAGTCTCATTAAACATTTGCCGTCACCTTATTTGAAGTACTTTCCACTCTGTTCTTAGGATATAAACTAAATTTTTGTCACAAAAGAAAGTTAATATCTATCGATCTAGCTATATATATATATATATATAGTTAGAAAATTGAGAAAATGTGGAAAATAATAAAAAATAATGACAAGAGAAGAAAAATTATTAAAATTATTTTTAAAAGTATTCAAAAAAATACTTTTTATTTATTATTTACTCTTTATTATTTATTATTAAAAAAAATTAAAAATCCGGAAAACAAAATAAAGAAAAGATATAATCTCATCATCAGCTCACACGATTATATCCACAAAGAAAGGAGTGCTTTCTAATATTGCATCAATGTAACCAAATCAAAATGCATATATCAATACAATAGTGTGAGGAGCACTCAAAAAATATTTATGAGTTTATTTTATGAGTATTATACCTATTTTATGAGTTTTATATACTTGTAGTTTATGTTAGTTATATATATATATANACTGATACGCACTATATATATATATATATATATATATATATATAGAATAATATATATAGTTTAAAGAATTTAATAAAAAGACTTAAAAGGATTTAAAAAAAAGGAATTCAAAAGAATTCTTTATGGCGGTTATTATAAGACAAATGAAAGAGAAAATGTAGCCAACTCAACCTCACCTGTCTGTATAGGTTGTACAGGAGGCTATAGGATCGTATGGGTAACAGGATGCATTCCATGAGTTTCGTGATTCTTTCAAATCGTAAGGAGCACCCTGAAACAATCATCGATGTATTAGTACATGAACTCATAAAATTAAAATCGTTTCGAAGGAAGTTTCTTCAACAAAAAAAAAAAAAAAAAAAAAAAAAAAAAAAAAAAAAAAAAAAAAAAAAAAACAACTTTAGGTATTGAAAAACAAGCCGAAGGAGGTGGTATCAGTTTGTTTATGAGCACATTTGCTTATGCTTCACGGAAAATTGCAAAGGTACCGATTTCGATTCTTATCCATATGATAATATTTTTACTTTCAGTGTAGGCAATCTGAGTTTCTTTATCCTGTAATTTTATTCAGAATGTTAGTAATAATTTATTTACTAGTTAAGGAACTGATACCATTGCTTTTACCCCAAATTTTTTGATTCTTAAAAAAAGGGACGGATTTTTTAAAGACTCCTTCTAAACCTGTTGTTTCTATTACAAAAATTTTATTTTTATTGCAAACTTAATCTAGAAATTAAGAGGGTAAAAATGGTGAAGATCTATGTGATAACAAAATTTACAGTCTTCATAAGTTTAAATTTATCTGTAACTTATCAGGTTTCGTTATTATTATAATAATTAAGCCTGACATGCATAAAGCAGTATTTACATATGTTAAGCTAATAAAAATTATTCAAAAAAAAATCATATTATTTAAATTACAATTTTATGCGATAACTTTGAAAAATGGAATGAAACCTGATACCGCTTTAAATCAAGGGAAAAAATCGCAAATGAATAAAAATATTTATTTGAAACTTTTTAATGTTTTTTTTTTTTTTTAAATTACTAGGCAGTTAAAGAAAAATGCGCACTAAGATGTAAAGAAATGCCAGTTAAAGATTCGCACACTACTTTTTCAGTTTGAGATTATTCAGCCGGCCAGGTGGCCGAGCGGTCAGCGTGTCTTACTGTGAAGCCAATGGTTGCGGGTTCGAATCCGTTCAGGACATGAACGTTTCTCTCTATGTGCTTTTTTTCTTTCCTCCAAGCCCTGAGCATGTACCTAGGTTATGAAAACCCTTAACCATATAGCCCAGGACTTGCTTTCTATGTGCTGTTCTCTATTGTGTGATGTGGGGCCGGGATAGCCTGGTTGGTAGGGCACTAGGCCCGTGTTCAAGAGTTCGTAGGTTCGATCCCCGCCGACCGAGGACTACCCGTGTAGTAAATGGTGACTGGTGAACGTTAAATCTATCGAGTCGCAAAGTCCTCCATGTCCCCATAACAAATCAATACCTCTGGGGATACTGATCCAGGAGTTTCCTTGTCTTCTGGATTGGTTCAAAATTACAAGGCAACGGAGTTTGAACATTAGTAGTCGTAAACCCAAACAATTGGGTTGGCTGTTCAACGAAGAAAATATATAGTGTGATGTGTGAATGTGGCCCACCCAATAAACGGGTATCTGTGGCAGTGTGGAGCTCGCCTTCGTCACTTAGATTCACGTGTGCCCACTGGGTGCTGTTAAATGAGTAACACTGAGGTGAAGAACGAAAGTTCAGTTTATTAAATAAAAATATTTTTATAAAAAAAGAGATTATTTAGGTTTTCAGACCGTTTAGAGAATTTTTGCTTAAGCAAAACGAATAATTTAAATTTTTTGCTTTTACAGCAATTAATGTTTTGATGAGTCCAAAAGCAAAAAAATTGTCAATGAGGATTTTTCATGAAATCGTTTTGCCCTTTACTCTTTAATTTTTTTTCCTTACTTCCTGACAGCAAATTTTTAGCTATTTCTCCTCTCCAAATGTGAGAGGAAAAATCTGCAGATAGTGTGATAATCTGCAGCGCCCGCTGTCGAGTTGGAAAATTTCTGATGCCAGGTACAACCACAACTGTCATTCTGTTACTGCCTTTCATTTTTATCAGATCGATCGCCTTTAAAGTAAATTGCCTGATATATAAAGCAATTATTCTCAAAAACAATGATGTATCATTAGAAGCTCTCCAAACAGATATTTAAAGGTCAATAGATTCAAATAGTAAATTCACAGTTCCGAAACAAAAAAAAGTCTATTACTTTGCAAACTGTAAAATGGATTGAATTGCACCATTGTGGCAACTTCTCATATTGAAATCTTGCTCTCAACCCAATACTTCTACTGGCTACCTTTTAACATTAAATGTTCTATTTCCATTTTGTTATTTTCTTCTGTTGCCATTATTCTTCTTCTTTTCTTTTCTTTTTAAATCATAATATATAAACTCAATTCTGCAGTCTTGGTTTCTTAGGACAGGACACCGTCAGCTGGAAATCAGCGCTAACCCCTTATTGGTCCATTTGCGAGTTTGATAGTATACGTCATCCAACGGTCATCTTGAACTACAATTGCCGTCCAACTCAACTGCAGTTGGATTACAACGTGACGTTAACCACAGAAACAATGGCGGACAACATCCAACAGCACATTGAAATCAGCCAAGATTTTGATTTCGACATTAAACATAGCTTCTTCATTAAACATAGCACTCTTCATTTAGCTCAGCTATAATGTGTTTTTTCTTGGACGAAGTCATTATTTGTTCTTTAAAACACTGGACGACAAAAACAAAGTCAATACAAATTCAAAATAAGTATTTGTTTACGTTATTAACGCATGCGCAATGAGAGATAATGTCTGCGTTGGACCGACTGCTCACGCTGAGCTAACAAAAAAGTATTTTTTTGGCGTCAGCTCTGCGTCAACTTTCCGCTGACGCCCAGATAAGGCGCTTGTCCTAAGAAACCAGACCTTTAGATATCCAAAAGTAACTGGCTAACTTTACAGTACCTGGTCATATTATCAGACGCACTATAAGATTCCATGTAAAATCATAATTATCAGGTGATTCTATACAGCTGTATTGTTTTTACGCGACTGAAACCGGTTTGCACTTGTTTACGCTCCTGTATCAATTGGTTAACATTGTAACGCAATACGTTAATCATAAATACAAATAGGAAGTATATACAAAATCTCCTGAATAAAAACTAATTACACGTATGTTTAAATATAAAAGCATTGCATATAAACTCGTGCAAATCATATCATTATTTAAAAACTACAGTGACTCTAATAATTAGATCTAATTATTATAATACACTAATATAATGATTTATATAATGAATATTCTATATTTACATAATATATCGTCTAATTTATTCAATCGTCGAATTTATATTATATATCGTCTAATTTAACCCATTGATACACGGACGTAAACAAGTGCAAACCGGTTTCAGTAGCGTAATAATCAATAAAGCTGTATAGTATCACCTGATAATTAAGATTTTACATAGAATCTTATAGTGCGTCTAAAAATTTTTGCCATAGACTGTATAATTGTCTGTGGTTTTTTTCTTTTTGTTGAATTTCTTAATGAAAATTTTTTAATTAAACTTTTAGCAAGAATTATATTTAAGACATTTTGCGACTTTATCATCAAACGATCTTTCCGTGTATTTCATAGAGACGGATGGAGTAAAGGTGAGATGAAGGATTGCACAGATTATGACAAAATGAACTACCCATTAAACCCCTTCAACTTCATTGCCAGAAAACCTTCGTCAACTTGGGAAACAATTCCCTCGAATCCCTGAAATTCTTGTCGGGGACTTCCGTAATGGATGGAGGAAAAGCAGGATATCGAACGGGGGGCTTTGTAGCCTCAAGTTTTTGTGTGTGGGAGGGGGGTAGAAATAGAGAACCGCAGGAGTTAAAATCACCCGATGACTCCCCTAATTGAAGGAACGGGGTTATGGGGGGCTGAGTGAGGGTGGTATAATGGAATTGCCTTGTAACTGCCGACATGCTCCGGTGCCCCTAAAGAGGGGGAGGGGTGCTCCTTTCCAGAAAGGTGTCGATAACGAAGCAATCGCTTCCAGAGATTTATTCTTACCTCTTATGGAATCTAATAGGTAACACTAAAAGATTTCTGTTTTCTCATTTTAAAACCACCGTTTAGAATGAATAATGAAAGGCACGCTTAATACCGCTGTTTATTACTAAACGACTATCTCTGGAAAAAAAAATTGTTTTAAGAATGCAATTTTTTGTTTCAATCATTTTATTTTATAACCGGCATTGAACCGTCATTCCATGCTTTGAGAGTGCGACTATCATCACCGTAGCTCTGTCATTTTAAACTAATCCAGAAGACGAGGGAACTCCTGGATAAACTAGCCTTTTTGGGATGACTTTTTGATGGACCCGCAACTACTAAAACCTACTAAAACCGCAACTACTTTTGACCCGCATTTGGGTTACACGGAGAGTGAGAAACTACGAAAACCTTCCACGATTAGCCTGGCGATAATAATATTCTAACCCATTATCAATCTACAGCTGGGATATTTTTACGTCAGCACTGGGTTTACCGGACGAAAGATTCTAATCGATTTTACCGTCGCTGGGTCACCACACTTGGGAGACCCAACTCGGCTGATTTAGGCGAAATAATTTGATAATCATTGAGTTAACTTTCAATCAATTTTTATCAATTCAAAAATCAACTCAAAATCCTTCAAAAGAGTTCAGGTTATTAAGCCATGGGCAAGTGGTAAAATTGATTAAGTCTGTTTACCAATTAATGGAACTAAGTTATTTCTGGTATACTAGAAATTAAAGAACTGCTGTTTCCAAAAATGCAAATTTCATCAAAAGTTACTCGCACATAATTTTGAAATTTGGTACTTGCACTTCAAGAAGACCACCCGCACACGTGATCTATGACGTCAGCGGCAGCTAATCTTTATCAGCAAAATGGCGTATTAAAGTTGAGCTAAGTTTCTCTACATAAGTTAGGACGTTAATTAACGATAAGTTAATTAAATATAGAGCCGTATCGCTCATCGAATTAGTTGAAATATAATTCTTTCTCGCCTACTTCTTTTACTTAAACTTAGGTTTATCATTTGTTTACGCATTTTACTGTAACACGTGATACATTTTTGTTTCGTGTACCGTGCCTGGCAACTTCGATGCCTAATTAGTTTGTTTATGTTCCACATCGTGCCTGTCTTTGTGTTAAGTCTCTCTGTCAATATATAGTGAAAGAATTGAAGTTTCTGAGAAAGAATCTTTGCGAAAGAATTAAGAATGCGTCACTTAAGAGACTTGATACATGACGGGCCTGACTTACTCGGAATAGAATGTAAAGAACAGTTGATAATATAAACAAATGACGCGTTTCAACAACCAATCAGGATCGAAATACCACCACGACGTCACTTGCAAGTATCCCATTCGTTGATAAAAAAGCTCATTGAATTTGAAAGAAAAAAATTAACTGTGTTCCCACTAGAGGGCGCGAAAATAAATGAAATTATTTAATATTGCAAAGGAAACGTACAATGTCTTAGTGTAATTATTAATTTATAACGTCTCTAATATTTAAAGATAATATTTAAATAAAAAAAAATAACACAAATGAGATTCTAAAACAGGATATGAAATTAAGTTTGTCTGTTTTTAATGAGTTAGAAGCAACGGTTTTGTACTAACATATAAACAAATATTCTTTGCCTCGATTATAAACTTCACAATGAGATGTTTTTTTTACATATTCTGAATGGTATAATTCTTCCTATATAACAATAAAGTTTGTTTTTCTTTGAAAATGAACTTTCATCTACGTATATTGTTTAAAAATTAGAACAAAACACTATTCTTCTTCGTGTATTAAGTGTAATATTAACATTAAAGATAATATTTAATCATTAACATGAAATATTTAGTTAATTTAATATCCAATTTTAAAAAAAAAATTATCTCTAGATTCTCATTTGAAAAGCATATTACTTAGCCAAAACACTGAAAGCATCTTTAATAGTTAATCTTGGGGCACTACTTTAACCCGGTGCAAAATATTAATGCGTAAATTGTTGTGGTGAACTTTGTGTTTTTTAGTTGACAAGCACAATTTAAGCATGTTATATGCAAAAAATTTTTAGCTACCAGAGTTGGCAAACGAAAACCGGTTTTTAGCCATCTTTTGTTGCTTTGTTCCATAACCTAAGTTTTAAATGCTGAAAAAAAAAATCAAATTATGGTGTCTTAATTTTAATAGGACTTAATTAAAGCTCACTGTAAGTAATCTGACTTAAAGTATAATAATAATGATTGATTTTCGTTTGAACTCTTGAAAATAGTTTGATTTATTTAGAGCATTTATAAAATGCTGTTGCAGTTAAAATCATAAGGGTAACGAATTCAGGATTGGATGATTACACATTAGAGTTGAAGAAAATTATTCATTTCTGAACCCTCAATTTTCTGTGAAATGCTGTATTATTTGATTGATCGTGATGCGTTTGGTACAGTACCAATTATCAAAGTCAATTTTTGGACATTATAAGTTAGTATGAAAATCGATGAAAAGGAACTAATTGATATATTCTGGATATTAAAATTTGTATAAAAAATGCACGTAGCAAATCACAACTTAGATAACAAGAAACGATAGTTGTAAGAAATGTTAAGTAACTCATTTGAATTTCAATTTTAAAAAAAGGAATGATTTTTAATTATCCCAAAAATTAGGTCGACTGTTCAACGACGGTTATAAAATAAAATAAAATTGGGAAATCAAAATAAACCTTTGCTTGGTAACCAATTTTATTTAACTTTTTCAAGCCTAGATAGAAGATTTTTTTGCTACTGAAAGCTTTTTTTTTCCTTCTCAATATGAGAATCAGGAATTTGTGATCTTCAGTAATTATAGATTTGTATAATATTCCCGATATTGTAATATTCGATGTATATTATTGGTGGTCACTGACCTGTGTAAATTAGAATCTGAAATCATGTTCCCTGTATCCAATAATTACCGATTTCTTATTTATTTATTTATTCATTTATTTTCTTACAAATCTAATGATATTTTCATTTAAAGGAAAACAATATGATTTTAAAATTTGATCGACAATACATTAATATTATGAATATTATTTATTGAGAAATTCATAACATCGCTTTCAACTAATCTCTAATGATGCCTCAAATAATTCATTAGGCTATTAAATTCAAACACAATAAAAAATGTTTTGAACATAAATATATTAATCTTAAAATCCACTGTTGAGATGGCATCTCCAAGGATGACTAAAACAATTCGTTAGGCTATTTAATTCAAACACATTGAAAAATATTTTGAACATAAATATATATTAATTTTAAAACCCGTAGTTGAGATAGCATCTCCAATGATGACTTAAATAATTCATTAAGCTATTTAATACAAACGCAATAAAAAATATTTTGAACATAAATATATTAATTTTAAAACCCACGGTTGAGATGGCATCTCCAATGATGACTCAAGTAATTCATTAGGCTATTTAATACAAACGCAATAAAAAATATTTTGAACATAAATATANTAGAATTCAAGATTTATTTTATCCACGGCGAAAGACCGAAATCGGTGGTTGTTGACTTTCACCGGTGAATGTCGACAAACACCAAGTACGCCGGTGAAAAATCGTATATTTCATTACATTCTTGTACATTCGGACCCTCACCGGTGTATGACGGCAATCACAGATATGCTTTGATGAATGGTCCGAAATATTTATTACATTCGATTTGATATGAATTTCGTGGATATAATTACATTTATTCGATATTTTAACACTACACTGATGTTTTTTTAAGGTTAAGTGCCACTGCCCGGTATACATTTGCCCGGTATACCCTACACTGATGTTTTTTTTAAGATTAAGTGCCACTGCCCGATATACATTTGCCCGGTATACCCTACACTGATGTTTTTTTTAAGATTAAGTGCCATTGCCCGGTATATATTTGTCCGATACTCCAAACATTGATGTTTCTTCTAATCTATCGTCAGTAGGTATTAAAATATAGAATAAATGTAAATATATCAAATAAATATAATAATATTAACGAATAAATGAATATAAAATTGGATATAACAAATATTTCGGACATTCGCCAAAGCGACTATGTGATTGTTGACATTCACCGGTGAGAGTCAGAAATAAGGGTATTTAGCAAATATTTCGGACATACACCAAGCGACTACGTGAATGTTGACATTCTCCGGTGAATGTCGACATTCTCCGGTGAATGTCGACATTCTCCAGATTTCGGTGTTTCACCGTAACATATATATTAATTTTAAAATCCGCTGTTGAGATGGCATGACCAATGATGACTCAAATAATTCATTAGGCTATTCAACTCCAGCGCAATAAAAAATATTTTGAACATAAATGTATTAATTTTAAAAATCTGCGGTTGAAATGGCATGCTGACTCTTATTTAAAAAAAAGGAACTCACCAGTGTTGAGTAGAAAGTGGTTGTGTTGGCTGCCAGTGATGAGATGTGATCAGCGTATGAAGAACCGTAGAGACCGAAGGATGCCAGCCGAGGTATCTGGGAGAGGAGTCGGCTATCCGTTGTATAGACCTGCGGTGGAGATCCACCCTCACTCGCCGGCTGGCAACACGGTCCGCCGCTGCTCACCAATACCTGCAACACACTTTCTCTTATCATTATGAAATGATTCTTATTTTACTTTTTTGTTTTTGTTTGGCTTGTTAACAACTGAAATTGTCTTAGTGACAACCGTTCTATCTGAGAAAAGATGCCATAGGTTAAAGGACGGAGAAGGATGTCACATTTTATAAAGGTATTAACCTTTACAAAAAGTGACATCCTTCTCTGTCCTTCAACCTATGGCAGGTTTCTTTCTCAGATTCTCGGTTGTCAGAGAGCTCTTCCGTATATTATATTCCATACATTATATATATATTAAATTATATAAATTATATGTAATAATATACATTAGAATTACGTTTATACAATAAGCGTTAAAAACATGGAGAAAACATGAAAAAAATTGAAAATTTATAAAAAGAGAAGAAAAAAAATTATTAAAATAAAATATTTAAGAAAAAAAATTTAAGGAACATACTATTAAAAATCCGGGAAAAAAAGTATAAATATTTTTCCGGCTTTTTAATATTATTTTTAAAATTTTTTTTAAAAATATTTTACTGTGTTTTATATAGTATATATGTATATTTAAAGTATATCTAGAATATATTTTAATCTATTCTTGTATGAAATTGCAATTTTTTTTCTTTTATTTGTGCTACATTGTGAAATCTACTAAATAAAAATGAAATTAGGAGTTTGTCTGTGTTTCTCTCTTACAATTTCGAAATTGTTGGCGCTGTCGTCGTAAAATTTGGGCAGCGAATGCAAGGGGCAGATTAACCGCTGATTGTTAAATTCAGTACGGGAGAGAAAATTTCAGTACGGGAGAGACATTTGAAAAATGGAATTTTCTCATTGATTTAGTATCAGTCATTGCTATACATTGCACTTGTATTTATCAAGTGTTTAAAAGATAATGCCAGAAATATATGCTAGCTTACAGCTCTGTTTGAAGAAAAACTAAAGTTTGTTGCACGATCTGTATTAAGTATATTTGATAGGCTCAGAGATGACAGTGGATGGCATCTGGTGATTAAGTCACATAATTAGTATTCCTAACGTTATTTTCAACCATGCGTATATTTTGTCCATAGTCTCGCTTTTTCAAAGGGGTTTCCGCTAAAATCAACCGTAATGGAAATTTTAAAAAAAGAGTTATGTACTAAAAAGAAATTACCGGCAAAAAGTATCATAAAAGTATTTATTATTAAAAAATTACTCCTTTCGGAAGGCCTACAAAATCACCACTGCTACTGATGTCAATGATGTTTTTGGTGACAGTACTGTAAGAAATTTCTCAGAAAAAATGGTTAAATAACAATTTACATAATTGTTATTTTACCATATTCAAGCAAAACTTTCAAATAACTATAAATAAGATGGCATTCAAGCTGCTAACTGTTGAAAAAACTGTTTATTTACTACTTTTGCCCAATACGATAAATTAACCAGAATTTTATAGCACCAACTAGACTCACCTAATGAAGTCATTCAGTTTCTTGCAGGAGGGTACATATTATAGCAGAGAGGGCTAATCAGTCAATCTCATGACCGACAGAACGGGGGTTCGATTCCCAATAAGCACCACAATAATTCCTCTAATGCCTCTAACACATGAATAGTTTTTAGTGTCCCGCGCTCCCCAATTTGCGATCTGGGCATTTAGAATACCATACATCTCATTCATGTATAGATGATTGCATCACAAAGCTGCTAAACTATCTCCGATGTCAGTTAAAGTGTTTTTGCATGGTTTTGAAACCATGCTAATTACAAATGGTTAAAAAAACAGTATAGCTTTGTATTTATGGTTTCTTAACCTTATTAGTTGCAAACGGTGTCAAAACCGTAAAGGGAAAAACTGTTCTTTACCATAAATTTTACGGTTATTCGGATGGACAGACAGCTACTGGTTATTTTACCATAATTTTAGAAGAAAAATTCTAAATGTAGTATTACTGATATTATGGTAATATATGTTGTTATTACTAAACATACTAATATTGAAATTTAATTTAGGTACTGTGGTAAGAAAATTTCTGTGACTCTTTGAGAGGAATACAAATTTCTTGATTATGATAAATTTTGTCTATCATGATTTGGTTGATAGTAAAAGCAACATGATAAAGTTAAGCTTTAATTTGATCGGATGAACTTCTAAATAGACGCTCCGCCTAATCTAATAACGTAAAGTCACCGGGAATCTAACTAATCATACATAAAAAAAGAGAATTACCAAAGCTTCTAACTAGGCAAAATTGGAGTTGATAATGGTTTAGCAATTTTTTACTGTTCTCTTAGACGAATTAGTACCGTTACCCCATTAATATTGCTTTTAGCATAGTTTTTGGACAGTACTTATTATCAAAACTAATTAAGAGTCTTCGCTGCAAAAATGGTGCATGGTGTTTTTTTACTTTCCTCTTCGAAGAATTAATACCCTTTCTCCATTAACTTTGCTTTTTAGTTCAAAGCTTATTTTTTTTTTTTAATTTCAATTATAGATTTGATTTTAAATTACTAAATTTTGTAGAAAGTTTTAAAAGTCCCACTGTAAACGAAATAAATACATGGCTTCAAATAAATTCAGAAAGACTAAAAGTGTAGGCCACGAAGTTTAAAATACTAATAAGAAAATTTAAAAATATACAAAGGAAAATAAACTGTGAGAAGATAACTTAGGATAGCGCAACGTAGAAGTTCTCTTTGAATAATTTGCTTGCAATTTAATATTTTGAGTCATTTTTTTAGCATGACTTACTCTAGGTTTGCCCGAACTTATTTTTTCTTTCTTTTAAATTTTAAATTAGAAAGAAAGGAGAAAGAAAATTTGCAACGAAAACTTTCTTTCGCTGAACGGCGACCTCTTAAAATGCTCAACATATATAGCGAAATACGCAAAGAGTAGAATTAACATGAATTGATCCAAGCTTCAACAAAAAAAAAAAAAAAAAAAAAAAAAAAAAACTATTTCCAGAAATGATTTAAATATTTGAAAAAGGCTAGAATTAATAACTGAACGTGTGCTCTTATTAATGAAAATTGAAATAATCGCTTTAAAAAAGGAACTTATACAATTCTGAAAAGGAACGCAAGGCATGATATAAAATGAATTTATTTTCCTTCAGCAATCATCATCACTATCTGTTTAAACAACATTTCATGACAGGTGGTGGTGTCTCATCTCAGAGAAAGCATAATCCTTAAGAGAGAATGATAACTAATGAGCTGTTCGATAGAAGATTTCCTTCCAATTGGGGGGTTGCTCAGCAATTAGAATGACAATTATTGTTGAGTTGTCTCCTGAAGGCATTACAGATGCGGTTTCCTTCTTCAAGAGATTTAAGTGAAGAAAAAGTGTTCGCTAAAGTGAACGCGAGATAAAGTGAGGTTGTAGTGGTCCGGACTATTATTTAAATAATGTTACTTCACACACTTATAGTGAAGAAATGTTCGCTGAAATGAATACGAGATATAGTGAGGTTGTAGTGGTATGGACTATTATTGAAATCTTGGCGGTAGACGGATCATGGGTTAGAGTCCCCTTGTCGTAAGGCTAACCGTGGGAGGTTCTCGTGTTCTTCCTCTCCATGTAACGCAAATGTGAATTAGTTTTATCAAAAAGTCCTCCGTGAAGGCAAATTTCTCCCAATACTTGATCCAGGAGTTCACTTGGCTTCTGGATTGGGCTCAAAATTATAAGGCTACGGAGTTGAGCATTAGTAGTCGTAAACCCATTAAATTGGGTCGGCTGTTCAACGACGGTTGCAGTACAAAATAAAAAATATTAGCTGGTGCTGAAGTTATAAGTCACATGCGTGGGTATTGGTTGTCTTCTTCTTGGAGTGCAAGAATCTAATTATTTACTTTTTTTTTAATTATTATTATTAGAAATAACGTTTCCCTAAATGTACCGTTTTTTTTTCTTCTTAATTTCAATGAAAATCACACTGCAACTTTTTTCTCCTCATATACTTATTATTTAAATTTCAAAATTGGCTAGAGTAAAACATGCTTATTATCTATTTTTAGAGATAATAATAGTATTGTTTTAAGAAATAGTCTCCATTTAAAATATTTGATCCCCTTTTATGTGCCCTTTTATATCGAACCTCGAGTGCATTTGTAATTCGGAGGTTCCGACTTTCGCGTCTATCCAGAACAATTTCCAAACAATCTTCTATTGATTCATTCTTTACTTAAATTCCAATTCAAATGTGGAGAATTTATTGTATTTTTCCAACACTACATATTTTTTCATAAGTGAATGTATAAATATTAAAAATCTGTGCTTTTAATTTCTGCGATTTTTACATGACTGATATATTTTGAGAATTTCATTTAAATTTCTTAGAATACTGAAAGGCGTTGACTAATGTGTTACGTATTACGTTATTATTATTTTTATCCTGAAATTTGGTAGTTACATTTTCTGATATTTTTTTGTGCTAAGCTTTGGCGATGTTATTAATATTGCAACATCTAAATAATCAGAGAAAATATTTCAACCTCCAAATCAAAAATTTAAAAAAAATGTCCATTACGTAAGTATATAAGTATTAATAAGTCTTGCTTGAGCCGTGATGGCTCAAGGGATAGAGCGTTCGCCTTAAAACGAGGTGAACCGGGTTCGAATCCCAGCAATGGCCTGCAGATACTAATTCCGCATCCGGCTTGCACCGACCACAGTGCTGACGTAAAACATCCTCAGTGGTAGACGGATCATGGGTTAGAATCCCCTTGCCCTCAGGCTAACCGAGAGGGGTTTTCATGGCTTTTTTCTCCACGTAACGCAAATGTGAATTAGTTCTATCAAAAAGTCCTCCGTGAAGGCAAATTTCTCCCAATACTTAATCCAGGTGTTCCTTTGTTTTCTGGATTGGGTTCAAAATTTCAAGGCTACGGATTTGAACATTAGTAGTCGCAAACCCGAAAAATTGGGTCAGCTGTTCAACGTTGGTTATAAAATAAAATATAAAATAAGCGTTGCTTTCCGAAGAATTCCTATGTAAATAAGAATTATAAAAAAG